ATATATATATATATTTGTAACCAGAATTTTACGTTATAGGTTATCAGACACGTCTTTCCTACAAAGTTTTTATCTAGGACGCTTCGTTAAAAAGATATAGGATGTTATACGTAAAAAATATTTTTGATTAATTTAAATAATGTAAAAACTAGTGCAATAATTTAAAATTGGGAGTTACAAACTATTATTAGTTAATTTTTAATTTCTGGATTGTTTAATTAATTTTTATAATGCAATATATCCACGAGAAGTACGTCGATATTATTTTTAATCCACGGCACGGATTTTGCAATGGAATCGCTTGCCGGGAGTATCACGTAGGAAAAAAAATAAAATTAGACCAAAATAAATAACTTTAGACAGTGTCTTAACAAGTGTCTTTATCATAATCATTAACTTTTTTGCAAATGCGAATTAACACATCAACCTTGATTAAGTAATAGCAGATTCATAATTGCTATAAAAAGATTTCTAATCATATTTATAACACGCTTTTAAAAAATATAAGCGCTAGAGTTTTTATTTTGGAATAATTAGACAGGTACTTACCTAGCATCAATCTCTGTGGACACTCTACCTGGTACGATTTTTAAAATTTCTTTTCCAAACAACACACACAGCTTATCCATGGCATTTTCAAGCTTTTCCTCGCGCGTTCTTCCAGTTTTACTTCCATAGGTAACAGCTTTATCGATCAAAGGTTTGTACTGAGGCAATGTAGCCGCAGTCAACATTAAGGAAGGATTTGTTGTGCCATCCGTGGGTTTGTAAATTTGCATTGCTGAATGATATAGAAAAATTGTTATTAGTGACACAACTTGTTCGTTGATATGAGCAGTAGCCGTATTCTGTAACTTTCTTACATTGCTATAACTTTATAGCCACAAAAAAATATCGCAAGATAAAGCGTAACTTTTACAGAAACATTTAAAACTTTGATTGTTTGTGACATTTTAAGTAAATCTGAATAATACTTTTTCCTATATTATTAACGACAGTTACTAAAAAAAAGTTGTAAAAGTTCAACGCTTGTAGTACCAAGTTACAGAATACCACCCCAGGTGTCGAATTGGAGAGGTCTAGATCAGGGGTCGGCAAGTAATTTTAGGTGCGGTCCGGATACTTTTGAAAATTTTTAATGAGGTCCAGAAAAAAATTCAATTTCTCATTTGTTTTATTTTAATTTGGACTCAAATTTAATCTGCTTACTAATTAAGAACTCAAAACACTCACACAATTGTAAAATACTAGAAAAAATGATAAGATTGGCACTTAAACGTAAAAAACATTTTTTAAATAATTTATTTTAGTAATTTATACTTTCAAAAAATTTTTGGCGGTCCAGTATTTTACCTTCCGCG